TTTAATAAATGGGGGAAGGGATTATACTACTACATTTCAGAATAGTCTTACAATAGTACTGTAACACTAACATGATTATAATGGTAATAAAATAGTATAATTTTGTCATTACAGTCGTACTACAATACAATAATCGTAGCATAATACTGGAATTCGATAATACGAAACAGAAGCAATGAATGCACGGATTTCGCCTAAACATATCAAGTGGCCTCGAACTTCGAAATGTTGGTTAGTGTTGTCTCCGCAACAGGGATCGAGATGTTGAAGCTGCCAGCATGCGGCACCTGGTATTCCTCTGGAGTGGCAATGTACCTCGGAACAGACTTTGAGAGAACAGGACATCTCCACGACTGTCCAACTAATCGCCTGTTGCTGTAAAAGGCCTTTTGGGGAAGCGACTCTTTGCCACCCATGATCGTCATGCTGGGAACTTTTAGGGGCACACCCAAATTTGAGCTCAAGGCTGAGATACTCTGAGAGGCACTTACAACTTACAGCAATGGCATGGTTGCATGGTCACTTGTATGCCTTCCGCTGCTCCTTTATTTCAAGTGGTTCTGACACCATAGCTACAGTAGCTTTACTGAACCGACATGCTTTTTCTGGAAAGGGAGTTCCCCCAAGCAGCACAAGTCTGGGTTGCAAGCGCACGGGAGCACTGGGATCTCGGCACGTCTTTGAAAAATTCTCGCCACAGCAAGCCCGGCTTGTGCCCGCGAGTTCTGCCGACAACCGCTGGTGGTCATGGGCGGTTGTAACCTCTGGTTGTTTGGTTGCGTGGCTCGCCCAAGTGGAGATTGCGCTGGCAGCTACAGCGACTTCGAGGATATCACCCAACTTTACCCACCACAGAAGGCATTACACAAAGCCAGGCAAGGTTCTCGTCTGCAGCTGAAGCCGTTCGAACCCCTCTCACATCAACTCTGAATTTCAAGCTAGGCACGGCCTGGAGCAGTAATTGCAGGAAATCGACTGAGCAGCAAGACAACCACAGAGAGACTCTGGAGCTTTGAATCTTGAGTAACAGCACACATGTTCACACCCCTCCGCATCAAGCTCCGGATCGTATTCCGCCTCCGGATCCTGCTCCGGATCCGGATCCTCTGCTGGTTCCAGGTCATCGTCATCCTCATCCTGCCCTCGGCCCAGCTGGAGAGCAGAAGACACGTCGGCCTCGCAGCCGTCCGCCTCACAGCCGTCTTCGAGCTTAAGCTGCGTCCCTTTCACGAGGGGGACAAGCAGGAGACAACTCCAGACGGCAAAAGCAGCAAGGCGCGCCATGGCTTACGTTTCAGTATTAGGGCCTCTCGCGCGCCTGTGCGCTGGAAGCTTTTGAGAATCAAGGTGCGAAGACATGTTTGCGAAGCTTGCAATCCGTGATCGTGCTTATTTGCGAACTGCAAATAGACTCATGCTGCTCAGATTCCAAAGACCAGACAATGGCCTCCAAATGGTCTGTCACTGGAACCCAGTTCAAGCCTGCTTTTTCTCTATTCTTCGGACTCACCAAAGATTGATGCAAACAACGACTTGGGAGGGCGTGTCAGTTCGCCACCAGGAGCAACCTGAGCTTGGCAGGTTCGAGAAAAGCAGGCTGGACGACTCGACAGGGGTTCATGCTGATGCTGTCATCACCGTCAACATTCAGATGCACTCAGTGTCGTCCAAGCTTGAAGCATTGGCATGTGGCACTGGGTCTGGATCACTGAGTCCACTTGATGACGAAGCCTGGAGCGAAGGACGAAACCACTTCAGCCGGTCGACTCGAGGTCCCTTGGCCTTTGCAGGGGCTTGGTCTTTGCCTTTCACCTGCGACGAGACTCTGAGCAGTGTCCCGCAGCCCGGCCCTGGCGCCCGGGCCGTGGGGCCCTATGGGCCCTGGCGGCCCTGGCGGCCCTGGCGGCCCTGGCCTGCTCGTTGTACTTCTTTTGCTTGGGCAGCAGGGCCGCGGGAGCGTGGTCACTGAATCCGCCCGGTTTGGGTTCCGGCCTTGGTGTGGCTTGGCATCCTCAGTCGGCTAATCGTGCCATGCACAACGAAGTTTGGCAGCGCACACACCCCACCGCCTCACAAAGCCAATTCGTCCAACGGCATGTTGCGACCACTTCTGCCCTCCCGATTCCGCACAGAGCCTGCATAGTAGTTTGTCCGGCGTCCAAGGCACTGCTGTCCTGATCATGCCAGAATGCTGCCAGCGGCTTCGATGGGCCGGTCTCGCCAACTTGCCTTCGCAGCAGCGGTGCCTGGCTGGAGGCCTGAAACAGAAAAGCCGCACTTGTAGCATGTGCAGCATGTCTGTAGCCGCTTGTGCAGCCCAACGCCGCTTGTGAGGGTGTCAGTTGGGGGCTAGCGTGGCTTCTCCCTCTTCCGCTGCCACCTTCTCTTCGAGTGCCTTCACAATGTCTGCCTCAGGATGCTGTTGCCTCACACGCAGGGCACTGCTTGTGCACGGCACTCCTCCGAATCGCGCCTGAACGAACGGTAGACCCGGCCGAACTCGGCAAACTCTACATCACGTTCCACCTGGCGAAAGCTCGAATGGGACAATGCCAGCATGCAACCGTTCTGCGCCTGCGAGTCCTTCAGGGCTTCGGAAACCGCAGCCTTGCCCTCCATCGCTAAGCAGAACCTCAGCCCAAAAGCTGGCAGTATGCATGGGGGCGGCATTCGCCGGAACCTTGTGTGCCACTACACGCTTGTGATGTTGACAGAAACGTTGAGTAAAGGGATGAAAGGAAATGACTTAGTGATCCGCCGTAGGCGCAATACATTACGGTTTAGCTGCAACCCCTACTAAGTACCTACTACCGAGATTAGTCGCACCCGGCAGGAGTTTCTGATCCAAAGGGTAGCGAGGGTATTAACGCCCCTCTCCCCAAGCCCGTGCAGGCTTCCTCTCAATGGAGTGTGGTGCTGCTCCGGCTTGGTGATCAGGGTGGGTTTTGTGCCAGTCCCCTTGTTCCCGAAATGCCTCAAGCCAAATGGAGTGTCGGAGGTGCAGAGGTCCAGCCGATGGAGGCTACGCTGAACGGGATGCACAGTCTACAGCTGTAGTCTTCCCGCCCTCCTGCAAAAACTAACACCTTTCCAACATGTGTCTGGCTGGCACCAATGGGCTGCGTTCACTGATCCGAATCGCTGCATGCGACCGCGACCGTGTGCCACGTCTGTGTTGGGAACCGGCGGCGTGCATGCAAACCACATCTTCAACGGTGTTTGATAGCCCGGCTTCTTTGTTCCAAGTATCGAACGAACTGGGCATGTACTGCTTTATCCAGACTGGGTCGAGGAGTTCAGATGTCGGAGTCTTCGTAATTGTGGTTCTGTGATGTGGAAGTTTTTATTTGCGAATTGCTGCACCAAGGAAGAGGCGATTGATTGATGCCCACACAATCTCAAATCGCGGGGTAATCAGGCACTGGCTTGGCATAACGCTGCTGCTTGCCTTGGAAGGCGACAACAAGCCCTCGAATGTGCCTAGCCAACATCCGGTTAGGATATACATTGTCTAAGCCAGGCACTCGGATCGTTCTTGAAAGGTTCGTGGCGGGCGGCTGCTCCATCCATGTCCTGTCGGGCTCGACAACGGACAACCAGCAGGACAATCCGAGATGTCTGATGTCCTGCGTCTGGCCCATGACAAAGTGACGACCAAGAGCATTGAGCAAGTTCTGCTTGTGCTGGTCGGGTACCCGCCACCTAGTGTCACGTCAACATGCAGCTTGCACAGCTTACAACTGCCGAGGACGGGGCAAAGGAGCAGCAGACCGCTGCATGCACGCCTCGTCAGCCTGCAGGGTGTTCTACTTACTGTTGTCCGACACTGCCAGTGCAGAAACTTCTGTGGACGCTTCCAACACGAATGTCGGTTGGAACACTGGGACCTCGGGAGGAGCTGGCGGTGCCGCAGTGTCATTTTCGGGCGACGGTTCTGCCTGTTGCACTTTTGAGCGATCTTTGAGAGCAGATGATTTTGTGCAGGTCGCACACGCGATTGCTCGCCCAACAGCTCGGCACGATATCGCGGATCCAAAAGCCGCTGTTGGCCATGTCTTAGAGCCGAGATCGCTATGACTTCGACTCAATCCGCTCGGACCGGGTCGTGGGCTTTTCTCGAAACTCCATGAGCTTCCGGTGTTCCTCGCTCCCCTCTTCTGCTTCCTTCATGGCGGGCAGATCACTTTTGCAGTCAGAGCTCACTTTTCCATGCACCTGAAGCGGTGAAATCTCAATGAGATGAACACCTTTGTAGCCTCGAGGCCTCAGGCACAAACACCTCCCCATTAAGTGTGAAGGAGGTTGATCCGGGAGTCAGGCACAGGTGGCGGATGCCAGTGCCTGAGATCCTGTGCCTCCTCAGGTTTGTGCATCTGGCTACTGCATGCCATCTCTGCAAGTGTCGAGTCCGTCCTTGTCCTGACCATCCGCACGTACAAAGCCCGGAACGTCGCCAGTCTGAGAACAGGCCGCAATCTTGCCCGACTTACAACAACCAGCAGAGTTGCCTGCGGCATCGACCTTACACATGTGTCAAGACGCCGGTAGGCGGAGAACACAGGGTCGGCAAAACTAAGAGGCCAGCGCGGCAGGCTTAACGTCACTCAGGGCAGCGTGTGCAGTCTCCTCCACTTCCTGTGCTGGCCGTGAAATTAGTGAGGCCCTTGGAGTCCGGGAGCAACCGAAAACCCCTGCAAAGTTCCCGGCCTCGTCCCTCAAAGAAGGATGGTAGTGAGAATGCTTGTCAGTCTCATGATCATAAACCTGACAGCATATGACAGCATGAAAATCGAAGTCGCAGCAAAGCAGCCCGAAAAGTGATGGCCTCTTCCCATGCCTGGGTCATAGCACCAAAGACCATCAAGACAAACTGAAAGACACATTATTTTAAGGTGACCTAACACAGGCACACCTTTTCAATGGTCGCAATATGTCGCAGTGCGCACACCGCCAGGCAGCAGGAGATTGTGCATGCAGCAATACGTGACACACTCACGTAA